CCAATGTTCAAAATCTAATCGCCAGTTGATAGCTTTACTTAAAATAAACAAAATGATGATGTTATTTTTTCAAAATGGTTTTTCTATTTTGCTGAATATCATTTCTTAGAAAGGCAATTTTTATTGGATGTGTACTTGTGACCGGCACTATACTATTATCATTATTATATAAATGATGATATACATGCTTCTTTTCATCAATTACATACATCCATCAAGAAAATTACATCTTTTTGGCCATCTATATCTCAAATGGAATTAGACTTTTATTAAATTCTTTATAATTTTTTTATTATTCATGTAATGACTCTTTAATCATTAAATAAATATAAATAAATTTTTTCTCAACAAATGGATAATAATGTAGAGTATTCTTTAACCCTCACATTTGAATGCAACGTAAAAGCAAATCTGATCCACTCTTTTTTGCAATTTTGATCTACAAGTGGGGTAGCAGGTCTATTTATATGTTTATGTAGTAATTTATTAGACTACTTGACCAATGGATCATTTGGCCACAAAATGGTCTATTTTATTAAAGAATACAATGTAAAAAGCAAAACTAGTGCTCGTTTTTTTGTGATTTTTTTGTCCACAAGTGGATAGCGGGTTTGTTTATATGTTTTGTAGTAATTTATTAGACTACTTGACCAATGGATCATTTGGCCACAAAATGGTCTATTTTATTAAAGAATACAACGTAAAAAGCAAAACTGGTGCTCGTTTTTTGGAGTAGTGGTTTATTTATATGTTTTATTAGACTACTCAATCAATGTATATACCATTTGGCTACGAAATAGTCTATTTTATTAAAAATAGCATCATTGATCATGAATGCACAATAGGACACTAGGATGCTTCGCATCCATTGCTAATTTTGAGAATATGTATATGACACTAAAGAATATTTATGAAGACTTAGAATGGTCCAAGAGAATTTTTTTACAAAAAAATGTGGAATGATTGTTTTACATGTTTCAAATTTAATAATAAACTATTGTCTTGACCAAAGTGATGTGATTTTTGCTCTTTGCGATGAAGACACAATCCAAACCAACTTAATTTTAATGTCAAAATGATGCTAAAATAGATAAATTTTTGATCTTGCGTCAGTTGTAATTTCATTATTAGGGATGGTATATAACATGTTATAAATAATTTGAGGGGTATATACCATATTTATACCCGGTATATACCATGGTATATACCACAATTGATTTCTTGTGTAATTTTTTAGTAGGGTATATACCATTGATTGGTATATACCACTAACATGTAATATGTAATAAAACAACAATTTTGGTTTGAATATTTATTTATAAGAAATACTAATTGCAATAAACTTATGTTATACATCTTCATAGAATTCTTGATTGCTACTACTATCTTCTAAATTAATAAATTCATCAAAATCATTATCATCATCATAATTTTCACCATCATAATTATAGTCATTATAATTGAAATCCAAGTCATTGTCAATTTCTTCATTTTTAAATGCTTCCCAAAATAGTGATTTTGATAAAGTAACCATGAAATCCAACTAAGGTTGCAGGAGAAACTCCTCCAGAAATCAATCGACAGAGTTTCAGCAGGTTACACATTAATTGTTTATTAGAGTTTTGGCAGAGTTTCGCATTTGGGGTTTTCACCAATCATCATAGTTTCGACAGGTTACACATTAATTGTTCATTAGAGTTTCAACAGAGTTTCAACAGTCATTAAGAGGTTTCGCCCACAACCTTAAATCCAACCATCACTTGTTATACAGACATATTTTGATTTTTCAATTTGATTATTATTATTTTCAATAATTTCATTATATTTATCATTTAACAATTTGACAGTGAGTGTTTTTCTAGATGGTAATTCATAAGCAGGATGTGTTTTTTACAAAAATTGATAAAATACTGATTTTCTACAATTGATAAGGGGAGACCACTACCAAAAATTGCTAGAGATAAATTGTCCAATCCTTCTTTTTCTTTAATTGAGCATTTATCATGAATCCTTCCATGACTTTTGTTTATTTTTTCCATGAATATTATCAAAATCTTTCCTTTTAGTTTTATTTTTTAATTCATTTGGTGTGCTATTACAATAAAGTAAATGTTTAATCATGGAAAGAGGTCATTCATCAAAAGCATGTTGACAATAATTACAAGAAGCTATATAATGCTTGCTTGTTATTGTTATTTTTTCTTTCTTGTGACTTTTTAACAATAAAATGCTGTGTTCATTTAACAATGGTATAAACATGGTATAAAAGCAGTAATGGTATATAACATGGTATATAACGGGTATATAACAGGGTATAAACTAGGTTGTTATAAACCCGCCCATCACTAATTGTACATATCATATATTTTATTAATCTTTAAAAATCAATCATCATCACCATCATCAAATTCTGCTAAAGCTCGATTGTAATTTTCTTCTCTATCAATGGAATTGGCTGGGGGGTCAATGATAATGGGAGTTGAGTCGGTAGTAGGTTGTTGTTGCATTGAAGATGATGATGATTTTTCAGTTTTTTTCTTTTTTCTCTTTCTTTGATTTTTGCTATCAAAGCTTTTTTCTACTGCTTCGAGTTCCTCATCTTCACCATTGTTGTTGTTGCTGTTACTGTTATTGTTATTGCTGTTACCATTGCTACTGTTGTTTTCAATGACCAAAGTGTTCCACTCAATATCTTTCAAATTGAGATGGAGGTTGTTTGCAGTGCTTATCCTAAGCTTCCCAATGACTGAAAATATTGATGACTTTATATTGTTTGATAGAAATTTGTATTTATTGTTTATATTTTGGTACATTACAAACACCTCCGTTTGTATATTTTTGTTCCTTGTGACTTGATTGTAAAGGTTCTGTTTGATTTTAAAATAATTTTTTTCGGCATCTTGTGCATGGGAAGTGGCCGGCCCCAAAAACAACAGCAATGGGTCATGGTATTCTATATCTTCAGGTTTTATATTATCATCATTGTCGATTATGATTGTTTGAATGAGGGAGATCTAAAAAGAAAGGGGGTTTTTTTTTCTTATAATTAATTTATTCTACATGGCACGGCAATTTAATCAAAAACACATATTAATATATATACATACATATTCCACGTTATCTTCGTACACATATCAACCCACGATATAGACCAATGTTCCTTTTGTAAAGTCAACCACATTATGCTCACTGAAAAACCCTTTATACTGAACCTCCCTAAATGCAGTCAGGCTTGTTTTATATATTGCGCTTCCACTAATTACACTGTCAGTGGAGGAGACAGTCTTAATGAAGCATGTAGATAAAAAAATGGAAGACATTGTTTTTTTTTTTTAATTAGTTGTTTGAAAATTTTTTTTTTCCTCACAAAAATAACGATGGATGAATTGGTTGTTGGATCAATTAATTAAAATTCCTTCATTTTTATTACTAAATTTTTATTAGAAGCCATTTTCTTAAACTAAAGCTTAATTCTATTTTTAAGAAATTTATTATTTTTTTTTATAAATCAAATTAAATGTTTAAACATTTAACGGTGGCTTTAATTATTTAAACATAAGTTTATCCATTATTGTAGTAGTCAGCTTTTTTATTGGCTTGACATCTTTTCTCTCTTTTTTTTTTTTTATTATAAATAAAACTTCTATCCGTTTAAAAAAAATTTGGCAGCACTTAACTTAAGTTAACGTTAATGTTAATTGACGTTGAAGTTGACATTGAATTGAAATTGACGTTAAAGTTAATGTTAACGTTAATGTTAACTACTCTATTATACACAACGCAATCATTTTCGTAACACTTGAAATTTCCTTTTTTTCAAAAAATTCCTTTTTTAAACAAAATTCTATATGAAAATGACCAAAAAATCTCCTTTTTAAAGCTAGATACATCGCACTAAGTTAAATTCGTCATATTCTTTCGTTAAATATGGTTAACTAATAAAAACGTAATACAAATAAATAAATTGTATATAAAATGCAAATAAAATAGATATAAATAGAAATAAAATGATTTTAATTCGGAATTAGGGTATTCATGCTTCGTTCTAAAATTATGCATTAAATAATTCAAATTCTGAATAATATTTTTTGAAAATTTAATTACACAACAAAATAATAAAGTTAATTAAATTCGACCAATTGAAGACGAGTTAGAAAGACATTTAGCTTTGCCACCAATATCTTCAGATTCACTCCTTTGGTGGAGTCAATATGAAAATAGATCCCAGTTATATCTAAAATAGCATGAGATTACCTTTCTATTCAAGAAACAAGTGTTCCATGTGAACAAGCTTTTTCAATGACAGTTCACACAATTACAAAAATTCATAATCGTCTTCATCCTAATACAGCACATGCTTAAAAAGTTGGATAAATTATGAAGCAGGTATATTATATAATTAATTTTAATTTAATTTAATTTTTTTTTTTTTTAAAAAATAAAAATTCTCATGAATATTAATATCAATTGTATTCAACCAGTTTAACATAGTTTTAAACTGACTCAACCATTTAACATCCCTAACTTACAACAATCCTCGTTTAAGATTGAATATAACTCAGGACATGCCCAAGGACATGTAGACGATTTACCCAGACTCACAGATAAGGTTGTGGGTGAAACCTCTTAATGACTGTCGAAACTCTGTCGAAACTCTAATGAACAATTAATGTGTAACCTGTCGAAACTCTGATGATTGGCGAAAACCCCAAATGCGAAACTCTGCCGAAACTCTAATAAACAATTAATGTGTAACCTGTCAAAACTCTGTCGATTGATTTCTGGAGGAGTTTCTCCCGCAACCTTACTCATGATAAATGCATTTTCTATTAAATGATGGAAAGTGTGGTATTTGGATCAAAGATGGAGAAATGCCCTTAAGGAAAAAAGGTAATGGAAGGTCAATATTAGTTAGTGAATTTTTAACTGAAATAAATGGAAGATTACAAATACCATTTGATGAAGTCAAAAAATATCCAAGCATTCCAAAAGAAGCATGTTGTTATTTAAAACCTGGCAAAAATAGAGAAGGTTACTGGACCTCTGAACATCTTCTTCAACAAATTGGACAAAAAGCAATTCCAATATTTGAGGCCCTATATCCTAATTGTATTGCAGTATTTGCTTTTGACAACAGTTCAAACCATGCTGCATTTAGTCAAGATGCACTTGTGGCTTACAAATGAATCTTGGTCCTGGTGGCAAGCAGCCTAAAATGCAATAGACTTTTTTTGAGCCAAATAATCAATCACAAGATATGGCTTTTCCAGGTGATTATTCTGTAGAATCATTATGTGGAGAACCTAAAAGAATGAAACAAATATTAATTGAGAGAGGGAAATGGTATGAAGGGTTGTTAGCTGAATGTAAAAATTGTAAAAAAAAGTTGCAGATGAAGCTAGAGTGAATTGCTGTGCACAAAAAATCATTTCCCTTGAACCAGGTTTTCAAGCACAAAAAGGTGCAATTCAGGGGTTGATTGAAAGGGCAAGGCATAAGTGTATCTTTTACCCAAAATTTCACTGTGAGTTAAATTTCATTGAAAGGTATTGGGGAGCTGCTAAATGTCATGCCAGAGAAAATTGCAATTACTCATGGACTGGATTACAAGAAACTGTTTCCCAAAGCTTGGATCCTGTGCCTTTGATTACAATTAGAAGATTTGCCCAAAAAGCATGGAGATACATGGATTTATATAGACATGGAATAGGTGGAAAATTAGCAGAATATGCTGTTAGAAAGTACAGATCTCATAGAAAGATCCCAGATGAAGTTTTAAAAGAATTAGAAAAAATTAGAATTTAATAATTTAGGATAAGCCAAGTGGTTGCTTTTTGTTTTATCATTATATTAATTATTATTTTTTATATATTGTAAATTTCTTTGAGATAAATAATTTTGGGTATTTTGACCAATAAAAATGTTTTCACTTGACAAATCACGTGAAGATCATCATTTAGAATTTCGGTGTAGATATACAGTCAAGCTCGTTATAACAAAGTTCGAACTAGTAAAATTTAGAAAGTATCTGAAGAAATATCCAAACAAATCCAATATTTCTTCAGATACTTTCTAAATTTGTACTAGTTCAAACTTCATTATAACGAGGCTTGACTGTATATGTTCTTAAATATCCATAAACTTGGGATGGGAGTATGGAATTTCTCTAAAGTGACATCAAATTAAAAACTAACACTTTAAAAGGAAGAAAATCAAACAAACAATGCTCTTTCTTTTGATATTGTTCCAAAAATGAACATTTTTATATTTAATCATACAAGAATTCTTCACCAAGTAATAATTAAAAATTTTTTAATTCTAATTTTAAATCTGTTATTAAAATTAATTTATAGGTAAAGATTTTTACTAAACAAAAGGCCATTACTTTATTTGCCTGCCTTTGAAACATGTATATCTATATGATGATACAGTTGATGAGAAGACAGCTGGCTATTAACAACATTTAAAAATATATGGAGACTTGTATTCCATAGTGATTTATGTGCTTTTTGTAAAAACAACAGATTTAATGCAAGATACTACTGGGGAGAAGGAGAAAAGGCAAAAAAGGTTATATAATGGGAAAACATATACAAAAGGCAAAAATGAACTATTTTATGAACCAAGTCAACTATTTTTGTTATTTTTTTTAGAAATTGCCAAAGATTATCTTCAGCATTTGATATCAATCAATTACAAATTCACTCCCGAATTTTTGATAAGATCAACATTTACTATTATAATATTTTTCTGATTTGGTATCTGTGTAACAAAATTTACAAACTCGGTATTATATATCAGAAAAAAAAGAGATGCAATTAATAAATACTTATAAACAAACAAACAAATAAAGTTATTTTCAATGAAAAAATATTTTTTTATATTAACCATTATAAATTCAACTTATTCGTGGTACAATCAAAAATATTAAATAAACAATTATCGTCAAGTTTATGGAAAACACAAATAATAAAGACGGCGAAGAACTAAAAGTAAGTGCAAGTATATACCATTTGCAAGAAAAAAGAGAAAAACTAAAGATTCAGTTATAATAATAAATTCATCGAATTTAAAAAGTGTCAGTGTAATTGTGGAATTACACCATGTGCAATTGTTGATAAGAAGCATCTAGAAATAGAGAAGCAAACTAACAAGAAAAACCTGTTTGTCGCTATCTTTCTTTACAACCAACAATATAGATCAAATAGATCACCCGTCTTCAATCAATTGCTTATAATTAGTAACAATCGGCTATCATTTTAAAAAAAAAAAATCAAGTCAAACTAAATTTAGTGCAACAAAAATTCATTATGGTGTAAATATAAAGACGTAAAAAAAAAAACAGCCGATCTTTAAAATGCTAAAGCTCAATAACCATGTTTGGGAGTGGGAAAAAACTCTATCCTTAGAACCCGAACAACAATTTATTGGTTTGAAGTTGCGCAATTTTACTATCGAAAATGAAATTTGGCCAAAAAAACTTTTCCCTATAAATCGGCGACAAATTAGAAGCATCGTTATTATAAAGTTCAGAACTTTAAACAAATTAAGTAAAGCAGTATTATTAAAAAATTTGTTAATAATAAAGATAATTCAGTAAATACTTGGCAATATTTCTCCGTGTGAGAAACAAATAAGTTACTAGAATATGGTCTTGGTATTTTATCCACCATAGATAAACAAAAAGAACTCCTGATTCAGGGCTGGAAAATAGTACTTTAAAAATCCGGATTTTCCTTTAAAAAATTTTAACTTCCGAAAAAATAAAGGGTTGCCGGATATTTTTCCTTTTTTATTTTTTATTTTTTTGTACAGATTTTTCCATCCGCATAAAAAAAAATTTATACTAAATATATATACATACAGTATATGTGTGTCATTGCTTCAATATTTTAGAAAAGAACCATAATTTGTATCTTTGGAATTTTCAGAAGAAAAGTATTGACTCAATTTAAATTCTTATTTCACTGCTATTAAATTATTATAAATTTAAAATATATACACTTTAAATGTGAATTATGTATATTTGTTTTCCTTATTCAAAAAAAATAAATAGTATAGAACAAGAAAAATTAGATAATTTATAGATTAAACAAATATTGATGAATCAGATATAGAAGGTTCAGGTGATTTGACAATTCAAGGTTCAGATGATTGATGATACTTCAAAAAAATCAAATAAAAAAAGGAAAATAGTAAATCAAGTTGTAAATCATATTAAAATCTCAAATAAAAAGTGCGTTTTAAAAATCAGGAAAAAAAGTTTTTGGTCAACATATATAAATGGTTAAAATATGATACAGCAATGAATAGAATGTTTTACTCAATTTGTAAAGTACATGGGAAAAAAATCTATTTGCAGGAAAAGGTGACAAATAAATATAATTAATTTTTTGCATTTCGTAATTATTAATTTACTAATATTATAATGTTATTATTATTTAGAATCAAAGAATGTTTCAAAATCTATTGCTCTAACAACTCATGCACTTTCAAACCAACATAAAGATGCTTTGTTCTAGAAAAGACAAGAATAGCCATGCAAGAGTCTTCCAAAAAAGCCATTAGTAATGGTAACAAACATATAATTAATATAATGAAATGATTTACTGGATGGCAAAAGAAGATATTCCAATTTCCAAACTTCCAAGTCTTATTTATATCTTAAAACTTATGGAAATAGTGCCATTTCTAGTGTAGATTGTGAAAAAGGTTTTAGCAAACAGAATATTATCAAATGTAATGCAATGGAAAATGGCACATTGTACTTATTAATGATGGTTAGTAAAAAAACAGAAGAATAAAATAAAGAAAATTAAATTTGAAAAAAGTTTAGCACCCAAAAAATTTAAATTTTTCTTTCGGAAAATTTTTAGCATTCAACAGAAATTTCCGTTTTTTTTTCAGACCCTATTTCCAGCCCTGGCTCCTGATACATAAATCTCCTTTGAGGAAATTGAAGTTTATTTCTATATGAAAAACAAAATTGGAACATATGATGATAAAGGGGGTTGAATTAAAAAGATTGTTACATCAAAAGGATAACCTTTTTATCATTTGAACATTCTTATTATATTCTTCTTAAGGGTGTGAGTTACACACTCCCTGAAGCCCCTGTATTTATTATTCTTTAATAGCACGTATATAATCAAAATGTCCTTCCACACATTTGCATTAAAGATTTTAAATAAAGCTAAAAATACAGATTAAGTATGCATATGATGTGAATGCAAATTTAAACACATATAATAATAGTACAATGCATAAGCATATGAGAGGATTCGGATATGGTATTTTAATGTTCATAGTATCAATAAATAGTGAATTATTGTTGTAAGATATATAGTGAACCAAAACATCACAATAATTGATGATTCAAATTTTATGGATTACGTCTCATTAGATTCATCTCGTCGAGGTGGTTGTTTTATCCAAAGCAGCCGGGTATTGACAAAGGTTGATCCTTCCAAATCTGTCTGAATGTGCTGAGCACATACCTTTTATGTATTAAAGTTTAACTGGTGATTCAGCAGTCACTATTCTTTGTCACAGATCATATCAATGTTATATCATTTAAATTTAAATTACAAGAATACCAACAAAAAGATATTTGATCGTCTAATCAAAATTTATAAAAATAAAAAATTATTTCTTTATTAGTTACCTTTCAAAACTCAAATTAGTTAGAAATTATTTTAAACCGGATTAAGTTGATACTTTTCGAAACTAATTAGAGAGTTTAGAAAGACAATTATACAAATAATATAAATAATTATTATGTTATAATTGTTATAAAAAAATAAATATATAGTGGCAATAGTAAAATAATAGATAGTCTAACCTTTTCACGTGTAAATGGTATATAGCTAATAGTCAAAGTTTTAACATCGGTGGATTAATCACAAAAATATTAACAATATAAATAATCGTGTAACAATTTATGTTACTAATATTGTGGGCGCTGAGTTAATGTTACACCACTATTTGATATCAACCTTTATAGTTTAGAAATCGTACATGGGCTTAATAAATTTTCCTTTAAAAATATATAATTCAATTAGTGTTCCATATATAGTATTAATATTAAGAAAAGGTTGATTATTTAGTAATCCCTTTTTTGTATGCATTTTATTTTATATATAAATTATAGTTCGTTTTTATTTATTTACATATAAAATTTCTATAGAGAATTTTCTCCCCAATAAAAGTTTTGTTAAATTAATAAATAAATTCTTTTTTAAATAATATTTAAGTGTTATTATGCGTCAAATTTTACTCGCAAAGAAGGATTCTTTTACAAATTCCGAAAAAACATTTTCAACTTATTCTTCTTCCGCCACTTTAACTGTTGAAACTGAAGAACCACTTAGTTTAGAAGGTCGTTGGATAAAAGATTCTAGTGGTCGCACTATACTTTTACGTGGTATAAATTTATCTGGCTCATCTAAACAACCTTGTCATCCTCAAAAAATCCCCTCTCACAAGGAAGATTTTTTTGAACATCGTAATGTTAGCTTCGTGGATAGACCATTTCCCTTGTCCGAAGCTGACCAACATTTTGCTCGTTTGAAACATTGGGGTTTCAATTTTCTGAGATTTATTGTAACCTGGGAAGCTCTTGAACATAAGGGACCGTAAGTGATATAGAAATTGAGTGCTCATTACTGTATTCATTTGATTTATAACGCAATTTATTCATTCATATCAGAGGAATATACGACGAAGAATTTATTGAATTCACAATAAAGATTATTAAAAAAGCCAAAGAGTATGGATTTAAATGTTTTATTGATCCTCATCAAGACGTTGTATGTTATGATTTTCATTACAATATATATTAATATATACATATATAACTCCTTTAATTAAAGGGGGAAAGTAACATATGCATTATTAATTATTATTATTTAATTTGATTTTTTTAGTGGTCAAGGTTTTCGGGTGGATCTGGTGCTCCTGGTTGGACATTGGAAGTTGCTGGTTTAAATATGAAAAATTTTGTCGCAACTGAAGCAGCAATAGTTCACAACTCTTATAAAGACCCTGCTAATTATCCAAAAATGGTTTGGTCAACAAACTATTATAAATTAGCAACTGCTACAATGTTTACATTATTTTATTCAGGGAAAATATTTGCACCAAAATGTATTGTAGATGGAATAAATATTCAAGATTATTTGCAAAATCATTTTTGTAATGCCTATAAAAGATTGGCTGAAAAAATATGCGATGCTAAATTAAATGATACAGTTGTTGTTGGATATGACACACAGAATGAACCAAGTTGGGGACTTGCTACAACTAAAGATTTGAATAAAATTCCAAAATGGCAAGAATATAGGAAAGGTGTAACACCTTCATTTTTTCAATCTATGTTGTTAGGAGAAGGAATACCTTGTAAAATAGATATCTGGGACCTGTTATGGTACGGCTTTAGTAAAATTGATGACATATATATTGATCCCAAAGGTAAAAAGGCATGGTTGGAAAAGGAACCTGAAGGTAATGATCCTTGGAAAAAATCATCAGATTATCCAAAAGGTTGTATATGGGCTGCACATGGTGTATGGGATAAACAATCCAAAGAGCTACTAAAACCAGGTTACTTTAATACAAATCCTTTAACCGGTGAGGAATTAGATTGGTACGAAGAATGCTTTAAACCGTTTGTACAAAAGTATTCATCAACCATAAGATCGGTGCACACACATGCAATAATTTTTATACAACCACCAGTACTTGAATTGCCACCTAAATGGAATCAATCAAATAATGATTCAATGGAACGTATAATATATTCACCACATTGGTATGATGGATTGACATTAACACAAAAACACTTTAATTGGTGGAATCTTGATTATTTGGGAGTTAAACGTGGGAAATATTTTGGATATTTGCCTGCTTTGAGAATTGGTACACCTGCTATTAAAAAAAACTTTGCTGATCAACTTGGGGTGATTAAAGAAGAAGCTAAGGAATATCTCGGTAAGAATTTTTTTTAAAAAAATTATTATTAGTATCTTCATTTTATTAATATTTTGAAATGTGTTTTTTTAGATGATATACCGTGTTTAATAGGTGAGATAGGAATTCCGTATGATCTGGATAATGGGGAAGCATCTAGAACAGGCGATTACTCACAACAAATCAAAGCAATGGACGCAAATATAAGTGCATTAGAGGCTAATTTATTGAATTATACAATATGGAACTATTGTTCTGATAATAATTTTCAATGGGGAGATCAATGGAATGGTGAGGATTTATCTATTTATTCATTAGGTAATGAACAAAACCAAGATGATGATATTGAGTTACCTAATAATTGTTTAAATTCAATGGAACCCTCAAAAAAGATGAACATTAAGGATTTAAATAAAGGCGGTAGAGCATTACAAGGATTATTAAGACCATTTCCGATGAAAACCTATGGTGAACCTGTTTCACTAGAATTTAATCCATGGGCAAAAATATTTAAATATGTTTATCGAAATCTTTCTGCTAGTGCACCACCAGGCTTTCCAACTGAAATTTACTTGCCTACTTATCATTTTGGGGGTATATTAAATGTAGATTTTACAGTGAAGACTACTAGTGGGTTATTTATTTGGGATAAAGACGAACAAAAAATTTGTTATTGGCATCAAATAAAAAAAGATATTATAATTGATGATGGAGAAAAGTTTAAAACAATTATTAATGTAACTAGTGCTGATGATGTTAAATCTAAAAATGATGTCGATGTTGATTATGTCGATGTTAGTGTTGAAGTCGACTATGATAGTATTGTTGTTGAAGATTGCGATGAAGGATTACATACTATCATTATTGAAGTTATAAATGGTGATGGTGAAGATGGATGGAGAAAATATTGTTAGATGAGGACAAAGATGATTAAATTTAAAACAAATTAATTAAATTTCCTATATAGTTAGATTAGATTTTTTCTATTAGAAAATTACAAAAAATGTGTATATTTGATAGTCATTTATATTTATATTTATATTTATATATATTAATTTATTTAATTTAAAAAAAAAAAAAACCATTGTAATAATAATAAAAATGTTGTTTATTTATTATATTTGAAGGCAGGTGCCATAAAGAAATTTCAGGTTCAAAGTGCCAAACGCCACGATCGTACTATTAATATAACGTAAGAAAAAAAAGGTTTACCTGTTTGTTTTTTTCGATCCTAGTTCGTAAACCTCCAACGGAGATAAAACAACGTTAAAGTAAAGAGCATTCTTCCCCACTTCCTCAAAATTACCTTTAATCACCATCCCGCTTCTAAATTCTTATATTTCTTGAGCAGAAATAACACTGCTAAGGATATTACCATAATTTTTCAGTTTAACAATCTCTTTTTTATTTCACTTTTGTTTGCATACATACAGGCAGCAGCAAAAACTTGGTCCACTTGCCACAATTATTAACTTTCTTATCTAAAACTTCTTTTGCTTGTATTGCCTGCCAAGTTTAATTTTGTGGCTATGGCTCGTAATAATTCATCTTTTTGGTCTAACTCTTAATGTGTAAGAGGGGTTTTTCGGATCTAATATAATTTGGAGCATACTGCAACAAAACCAGACAAAGTGAACATTGGTGTTACCAAAATTTTCAGGGATCAATAGTGTTTAACATCGCAATTGTATTATTACCATGTAATGTAATCACAATATTTAGACAAAAATAATTAACATGAAGCTAATTTACATCAGATATACCATGGAACCAAGAATTATAGTACTATCAGAAGTATTTTGAAGAAGGAACAAGGTGAGAAAATTGCTCCTTATATTTTCAAGATAAATGACACTCAAACACTGGAAACTTATCTAAAAAAAGAAAGGATTACCTATGAAATTTATCAAGAGGAAAGAGTTTTCAAAAAGAGTATTAAAGAATTCTAGTAAGGAATCAAGAAAAAAAAGAAAACTGACAGAATAACTAAAACAAATAATTACTTTTTTTCAACCTTATTAATTTTTAATTACCTTTTATTTTCAATCAAGGTCATTTTTTCAATTTGAGCAGTTAGTTGACCGTTCTGTTGTAATTGTTCTAGCTGGTTCTTCAATTTCTCATTCTCTGCCTCATAAGCATTTAACTTATTGACTAACTCTTGAGGGGTTAAAGTTTTCAATTGTTCAATTTTCTGAGTCAATTTAATAATTTCTGCTTCTTGTTGTTTAATCTTATCTAACAACTCTTGCTTCTGTCTTTTACCTCACTCTTCAGGTTTCTCTTGAAACTTGGCTACTTCTTCTCTTTCAATTTCCAATGCTTCTTCAGTCTCATTTAATTGTTCTTGTAAGGAGTTTATTTGTCTTTCATAAAAGGCAGACTGGTTTATTTCTTCATAAGGTAAGAGGGGGAGTTCCTTCTCTTCAAGTCTTCATTGTTTCTAATACAGTAGCAATCATTCTTACCAGTAACAATATCAAAATTTAACTTAATTTGTAATCTACCACACCTATTACACTTTAACAATTCATCATTCCAATACTTTTCTTTGCACCTTTCACAAACCATGTCATCTGAAATTCATTCCCCACTTTAGTGTGAGACCTTATTTGATGAACAGACTCATTGTTTCTGTTTTCAAGTTTAGAACAAAAATCGCAAGTTTTTTTACTTTCTTTTTTCCAATTCTAAAACTGTGTATTCCAGTTCTCTCATTGTAATCTACTCATTATTTAGACTTTACCTCTACTTGAGCAATTGTTTCTTGGTTGTGAAATTTTTCTTTTTTGATTAGACTTTGCAGTTTTTGAATCTTAACCTTTGCTTTTGTTTTTAATCACTTGAAAATGCTTTGCTTAGTTAGAATCTTATTTTCTTCTTCAACAGGTAAAGGTTTGCTGCTAAGTAATCTAACCTTTTTAGACTTTCATTCTGTGATTCACTATCAGCAAATTGCTTGCTTAGTTTTTCCAACTTTTCAACTTGAGTTTCTAGATGAGAAATCTTTTCACTACAGTCAGACCTCCATAAATGCACCCTCCATAAATGCACACCCTCCATAAATGCATGCTAAGTCTTGGTCCCAACCTCAGGACTTAATGATAAATGCACACCCTCCATACTCTGCACTGCACAGTATTTTTTCAGTCCCACTCATATGAAAACTCCCTCCATAAATGCACCCCACATGACTAATTAAAGATGTTAGCCAAAATTATTTCACTTAATAAATGATCATCACCAAATCCGAAATGCCAAAATATTTTTTCATAGTTGCCAAAATTAATTTTATTAATTGCCAAAATTATACTCAAAATTATTTGAACACTTTAACTCAATAGCCAAAATTCTGGGTGGTTTTTTTATGTCCATCATTATGAAAATATTGTAAATCTGAAATTGCCTGCCGAAATTGATTTTTTCAAAAACCATTTTGGCTAACATCTTTATGACTAATGTATAAAATTCATCATGTAACTAGGATAAATTTAGAAATCATCGGCAAATTTTTTGATTTGATTGGATAATTTCCAATATGTAATGCAATCCAATTTCATGACTTTGTGTCACTAAATGCTTTCATAAAATGCAAGTTGATGAATTTTTGAATATCCTGAAGAAAATATTGTCTGTGAGGTTCCAGATGATGATAAAATAATCAAAGAACTTGCAGAAATGTATAAAAATAAAATTAATGTACCTGCTGACAATTTTGAGAAGATGACATTAAGCCTTGAGGAAGCATTAAAGGTCTTGAAATTGTACATTCATTTTTATTACAGCAAGAAAAATAATGCTACAAACAAATAAAATTGGTTAATAAAATTGAAAGATATATATCAATATAAAAAAAAGTAAGTTCATCAAAACAAACTACAATGGATATTTATTTAGTATTACTGTATTTAAAATATTGCGTATCATTTGCGACCAATGAAATTGCTTCTCTCCATAAATGCACACCCTCCATAAATGCACGCTGTCCCTTGGTCCCAAGGGGGGTGCATTTATGGAGGTCTGCTGTAGCAGTTTTGAGTTTTTTGTTTTTTTTCTTTTATATCTTCTGCTTGATTTTTACTTCATTTTTCACCACATGCTACAACTTCCTTAACTTGTTCCTGCTCTATTTTTACTCTTTCTTCTAACTCTTCTACCTCTGCTTCCAAATTTGCTTGTTCTGCTTCTAATTCCTTAATTTCCTCTTCATATTCTTGATTTTGTTTAAAACTTTATCAAAATTTTCCTTAGTTTTATAAGATAATTCATTCCAACTACCAATTAACTCATCCAGAGAAAGATTTTTAAGGCAATAATTATTATAACACTTTGATTGATTGAATCTCATCCTTCATATCCTCTTTCTAATATTCCTTTTAGAGTTAAATTATCTTCTATTTTGCCTTCTCTTAATCACTTTCTAAATAATTCTTTGATTTCTTCAGAATTTAATTTAATGAGGTTAATAAAAATATCTCTTTTAGCCTTATTTCTTACTTTCCAATAATGACTTGACTGCTTATAATAAGGATAATATTGGTAAGTGTTAAGAATTAAATTTCTACAAGCTGGTTCTGTAGGATATAACTTACAAAACTGAGACCACTTTTCTTGGTCACAATAAACTTTCATAATCTCACCAACTACATCTACATCAGGATTGTTAGTGTAATGACTTTCACTTAAAACAGTAGTTATTCATGCTCTAATTTCTTCATTATTCAACTGTTTAAATTGCAAGGGGCTTTTAATTGTTCTATCTCTTCTAATAATTGTTTGTTTCTCTGTTCAAGTTCATTTATGATGTTTGTCGTGACTTTCTTTTATTACCTTTTTTTATTTATTTATTCTTTTAATATACTTATATCCTTTTTATTGATGATATATTAAGTATATAAATTATTTTAGTACTTTTTTTACTTTAAAGGTGGAAAAAGCTAGCAATATTTGTTAAAAGATTAAACTTATTAAACTTATGACAGCAAAGAAGTAATAAAGTAATGAAGGTGATTTTGTTCTGAACATTTTATTTGTTGGCAGTATAGAATGGTCTTGGACAAGTAGTATCTTTGTATTCATCTTTCACAAATGGGTGAATATTATTATAAAGGTATTCTTGTCTTTTATGGCCCAAAGGAGGTGGTGTTAACACTAAAATAGATAAAGCTTTAATCTCTTCAAAAATATCTGCTTTCTTGGTTTTCAATAAATTAAATTCAGTAAAAGGTCCATTAGCAACTTCTTGAACTTTCACTGTATCAAGATTAGATGCTTCAAAAAGAAAATGTTGATATTTCTGTATGCTTGGTAATTTCTTCCCAAAATTGCTTTAATATCTAAGTATTGAAAACCTTTTCCACCTTCATAACGCTGAGCTTTATTCAATCCTGTTGGACTAGATCTTTTCACCACCTCAACTACATGATCTACACAATCTACTCTTGTTTTCCTATAGAGTTTTTTTATTAAACAAAAACTACCATCACACTTGAATTTGGTATGTCCAGGAATCATGAAATACTTTCATAATAACCACAAATTACCAAATACAAGTAAAACCAAACAGTGGTGCTATTTTTATTCTGTCCTCCAGCATTATCACAAGTAATCTTTAAATGTTTTTCACTTTTATTCAATTTCTTAATTCCATCAAAAATCATACTAAGAGTTCCATTGGGTCCTTTTCCTATAATTTCATCTTCATTAAAAACATAATTAATTTGTTCCCTTACTGCTTCACCTTGAATACCAAATAAATGAACTTTACATGGACTAAGGTAATAGATTTATTTTACTTGCCTGTTGATCAGAATGTGGTACATGAACATTTGGGCTCAATCATAACTGTAATGAGCAGTGACATCAATACTGCAATATGGTGTTTTGCCCTTTGAATAATTTTGATTAACTAATT